AAGATAGCGAATTCTTATTTTAGTGGTTTTTGCAATATTTATTGTAAAGTGCCTAGAGAGGGGTATATTAATAAGTGCAAGGAATTATGTGAGAAATGATATTGCATTAAATTCCAGCTGGCTATAAAAAGCTAGCTTTTATGCTTATTTTAAATATTCTTTTTAAAAAAAAAAATCAACTCTTTTTTTTTCTTATATATTTAGTGCTTTAATTAAGCTTTTCTTATTTTTAAGAATTTTTAAAATATTTATCTTTTTCCTTTCTTTGGTTTCCTTTTATTCCTATCTTCCCTCTTTATCGCGTTAAAGCTCCTTCTTAAGTTGTCCTTAAGAAGGTTTAGCAAAACCTATCCCCTATTATTTAAATGGCTCGTTTTTAATATATTATTATTATTAATATTTATATAATAATTTATAATAAAGATTATTTATTTTTATGGCTTAAAGCAATTTCCTATTTAATATATTTATAAAATTAAAAATCATACTTAGCCTTATTATATTAAATAATGCTATTTAAGGCGCTTTATAAATAAAAGCTTAATATTAAATATTTTTAACTATATTTTTACTTTATATATCTTTATATTTTTATTAAGAATTATAAATTAAGAATAAAATTATTAAATAAAGCTAAAAAGGCATACTTTATAAGATTTAAGGCTAAAGGTAAAACTATTTTTTATTTATTTATGCCGCTTTAAAAAGTTATTATAATTATAATATTAAGCTATATTACTTAATTTACTTTAATAATAAAAATTATATAAATAATTAGCTAGCTAAATAAAAACATGCTATTTAAGATAAAGATATTATTAACGTTTTAGCTAATAAAACTTATTAATAATGCAAAACCTATTAATAAACTACTTAAACCTATGGAATTTATATAATTATATAGTTCTTAAGGATAACGGATTTAGCCTTTATAAAAAGCAAAAGAAAATGCAAATATTATTATGAAATATTTTAAAGATTTTAATAACTTAATATTAATTAATATAAACCTTATATTAAATCTTATTTAATTAGCATTAATTAATGCTAACTGCCTTAATTAAATCTTTACTTAAATATAACTTATTAATATAATAAATGCTAATAATATTCTTAATATATATATATAAATTATAAAAAGCAGTAAAAGGAATGCTTAGCAATAAGCTATTAAAAAAGAACTTAAATTACTTTTAAATATAAATATATAAGTTAAAGTATTTATTATTATAAATTAATATATTATTAATCTTTACTAAGTATATATAAAGAAGTTTAACGCTTTTAATAAGCTTATTTATTATAAAGCTTAACTTATTACTTATAAATATATATAAATTTATAATATAAATTATAATAATATTTATAGCTTAATAATGCATTATAATAATTTAAGATTAATTATTATTATTATTATTATAATAAGTTAATAGCTTTAGTAATTTAATATTAAAATGATATACTTATATAGCCATTTAAAATATAATATGTATATATAATTATCGCAAGGGTATTAAATATTATTTAATAATTAATAAATTATTTTAAAACTTCTTAATGCTTTATATAAACTTAAATAATTAAGCTATAAATAGTTTAATATTCTTAAAAAGAAATTAATTAAATATTTTATAAAGATAATATTTAACCCTTGCATTTTTATTAAAAACTAAATTATTATTACTGTTTATATTAATAATATTCTTATTATTAAGAATTCTTTCTAAGTTAATAAATTTTATGATAAGCTTATGCAGCGTTTTAAGTATAAAAACCTTAATCTTTATAAATACTTACTTAAGTTAAAAATTATATAAACTAATAATAAAATTTATATTTTTTAAAAAAGATATGCTTAATAAATTTTAAAATACTTTAATATATTTAATTATAATTAAAATAAACTCTTATAAATTTAAATTTATTTTTATAATAAAAAGAACTTAATAATATTATAATAAAATTAATAATATATTAATTACTTATTAAATTTATTAATTTTCTTATTATTAAAATAAAATTTAATCTTATATTTTTATATATAATGCTATTAATATTTAATATAAAGCCCGCAACTTATTACTTAAATATTATAAAGAAAGTGCTTTAATATATTTAGCATACATTAAACTATACCTTGTAATTTTTAAAATAAACATTATTATTTTAATTTATAATGCTTAATATATATATTAATACCTTTTATAATATTAATTTAAATAATTTAAGGGCATTTAATAAATATATATAACTCCTTAATAATAATTTAATTACTTAATTATTAAAGCATTAATTTATTATTATAAAATTTACTTATAAGGCGAAATATATAGCATATTTATTAATATTAAACCTTATTTAAAATTACAAAGTTAATGCTTAATTAAAATATATTATTATTTACTATTATTTTATTTATAAAGAAATTAAAGAAATATATAATATTTATTATATTATATTTAAAAATAGTTTTGCTAATATTTATATAAAAGCATTACCTTGCTTTACCCTTAAAAAGGCTTATATAAAATTAAGATTAAAATAAATATAAGGTTTATATTATTAAAAAAGCATTTAAATAATTAATTAAAAATAATATAAGCAAAATATATAAACATTAAATAATGTTTATATAATAATCTTAATATAAATTATAATGGAATATTTAAATTATATTTTTTAGTTATTAAAATGGAATATTTCTTATTATTATTAGGGCGATAATATTTGTGATAAGGGGTATGTTAGAAAATGCGAGGGTTATATGCTTATATATTAGCGCTAACCTATAAATAGGCTCCTTTTAAGCATTTAATAACGGGGAGATTTCTCTCCTCAACACATAACAATCAACTATCGTTTGCTTAATTGCTTCATCAGATGGTGTGCACCATGGAACCACCGTCAGATCAACCATCAGGCCATGGAATAATGACAGGGGATGTGTATAAGCCTCCTTCCGCTAACTTCTCGTCCTCTTGGGATCCTCCGTTCCGAAGCCTGATATCATTCGTTGTCGTCCACGAAGCCGACGCGCTTCTTATACCCCAAAGTGCGCTAGACAAATCATTAGGGCGCCAATCGAGCCCCCTTCATGCCGCCGAGTCATCGTGATGGTTGCTGAGAGACGGTCATACAAACGCATGGCGTCGGGCAAAATAAGCTGCTACGTTCGAGCTGAACCTTGGCGCCGGTTGTCTGAGGTGAGACCGAAGAACCCGGTGAGGCGGATGTAGTTGTGCGGCTGGAGGCGGCGCCTCATTTGCCAAGCATTTCAGGGCTGATGATGGATGATAAAGTCTGCGCCGTCACTGTCTAGTGCCATGTGTCATTCAATCACATGGATGGATGTGGTTTTTATATAGCTTGATATAGGTCAATCGGCACCAGTTGGCATTTAGTGGGCAAAGGCTGACCCCACGACCCAACATCTGCGGCCCTTCGCGGGGAGAGCCTTGTTGCTCTCTTGCACGGGAACAGCAATGGATAACTAAGTCATCTGCCCAAGTGCATGGATGGCTGTGGAATACTTTCCCCGCAAGTGTGCTACAGCCATGCTCAGTCATCTGAGGGCTCCGTGCTGATCTACCTAGGGAGGTTCTCGTTGAGAAATCTAGCCAAAATCATAGTTCGGATGCTAGCCGTCGTGTGGTGACGCCACATACAAGTGTGTAAGCCTAGTCGCGTGGCCTGCGCATGATGAATAGGCATTGCACGGTATGTCTCGGGCCTTGCCGATTGCCACCCGATTGCCTGCTTTCGATGCATTGTTAATGGCTGGACCGGGTCCGTTCCTGGTGGCCACACGAAGACATACAGCACTTTTCCAGCCACTCAGCACGAACCTACACCCTCAACCACAATCACCTGCCAAAGTTGTGGAGTGGGATCAACCAAGTTTGACAGCATGGATCAAGCTGAAATCCACACTGACTGTGCTGGAAGACCTGGTTTCTCATATAGCACTAACGAATCTTGCTATAGATAACTTAATGATAGTCGTTCCCGCATTGTTGAGCCCTGTGGTGTGCAGGTCCTGGGTACGGTTCATCCAAGCCCAGCTGAGGAAGTCATCCGACACTCTGTCTGGCTAGCAGGGTAGCCAGCGCCACAATTCTGCCTGGTGGGTGTTGCTTGGCAACGCTGATCAAATGAATGGGATGCCCAAAATGCACGCGATCCGCACGCAGCAATAATAATTCCGCGAGTGAATTGCACTCTGCGGATGGGGATAGACCTGCCACACCGTCGGAATGTGGACCACTGGGGTGGCTTCATGATTATCGAGCGAAAATGTTCTCGATGTAAGACCTAATGCATTGCTCCAAGCCTCTCTGGGCCTGTTGGGGAACATCCGCTTTCTTTGTGCAACGGCTGGCACGGCGAGTCGTTGGGGGCGACAAGGCTAACATCGAAATCACACCGGCGTGGGACACAACAGAAGAGCGCAGACTAGTCATGACGATAGGACTCAACGACAGAAAAGTGAACAAGACGGGTCTCACGGCCTTTTGAGCATCACAAGACATTTTTGTGTCTCTGAGTGCGAGGATTCGCGAATGTGGTATCACGAACCAAGACCCGCTACCCATCCACGAGAAGCACAAAGCTAGACCTGGTTCATTGCAAAGATTACACGAGTCCAATCAACTCCGTCTTCTATCCTGGTAAGTGGCTTGCTCATGGGGAAATTGTTGGCAGCGCCACCATTCATACACCACAGTCTGCCATCCAAAGTCTGCTATGAAGGTGGTCACCCTTTTAGACTCCTTGCAGAGTTGGCTGCAAGACAACCAAACTCTCAATCTTGCTTCCCCAGAGTCCTTTCACATGCCCTTCATCTGCTGATAACTATACATAAGACGTCCCCCAGCAATTCTCATGTCGTCGTAAAAGGATACGCGTTGCCACACCATCTTTCAGGCCCGGTCGAAGGGTTCTAGAAGATGCACAAGCCACCGATACTTGTTATTTCAAAAGTAGAGTGTAGATTCCCTAGTCTAGATGAGAGCAACCAGAACAGCCACGGCGTAGGCCCAAGACGAGATCGCAGTGTCACTGGACCCGAAGCCGGGTGCTGCTGCACTACTGCTTTCGACAGTGGGGTTTGCTGAAGCAGAGCTTGCTGAAGCAGAGCTAGAGGCAGGCGTGGCAGAGGTGGTACTGTTCGAAGGCACATTTGAAGAGCTGGCGATTGCTGTGGCGGAAGTGGTCGAAGAGGCTGTATCGGATGACGTCGATGTTGTATTTGTCGTATTAGATGAGTCGAAGTAGGATGCGTCGAAGCTGCCTACAGAGTAGTACCCGGGCTTACCACCGCCTAAGTATTTCCATTTGTCAGTAATCGATTATCTACATCTCCTGGAAGAGTGCCAGATTTGGGAAAACTCAACTCACATTTATGGAGGCCATAGCCGGGGCAAGGCTCGGTGCACTCGGACGCGTCTACTTTCTTGTCGTCCGGTGGCAGGCTGTCAAGGCAGAAGCAGCCTGATATCCGCATTCCGATTACAAATTGGTCCGATTTCAGACACTCCTCTGCACACGCGCTAAAAGAGTTGAAATCCAAAGTCTTCTCATTGTCGACGGCGTCGAAGGCGTAGCATTGGGTCTCGGTTCCATCCCTAATATCGAGGATTTGACCGGCTGCCGCGAGCTGGCCGAGAGATAACAAAAGGCTGATGTTAAGCTTCATTGTAGAGGTAGAGTGGCCCTGGATATGACTGGTTGGGTTTTGCGTATGCAGAGATGCTTGAGCGGGAGGTGGTGGTGCAGTCGCGTGAGCTAAACGGTTGTGTTCACAACGCCCTCCTGCGTGAATACATATATGTTGCCACCCCCTGATCCTTGATCGTGCAGGCGGTATCCTAATTAGACTACATCGAGCCGCGGAGGATTGTTGGAGGATCAGGCCAGCCATAAAAGCGGACCAGGAATACGAGACTGTGATCGTGTTGCGGCTAACTCCTGCCGACTGCGTTGGCACCGCCGCGTCGTCTCCACTCTCCCAGAATCCATAATGAAAAGCTCTCTGCACTCAATCAAGTAGCGATCACTTAGTTGTTGAAGAACTAACTGCATTCCGAGCTCGAGTCGTTGTACAGTGTTTATCTATGAGGTTAAGCAACCGCGTCATTTGAATGCAAGCTGTTGATTTTGGGCCTTGCTTTTTCTACCTCCTTATTTTCCCACTGTTAGCTCTTGCATGACTTCATCTTCCGGACGCATCCCCGAGATCTGAAGGAACAGCGGGCGGGGCCTGGGCGCAGGCAGCAACTTTTATCATCGCACTTGCTGCTGTTTCGGGAGTGGCACCTGTTTCCGTGCTTCTTGTTCATAAACTTGGAACCAAAATATTGCTCGGCCCATTCGACTTTCACTGCTTTCTGTAATTCCAATACATCTGCATAAATGTGCAACAGCCGTCAGCGGGCCTGGTTCGTGAGGGCTAAATCGAGCAGTATATACGGCAGACTGCCAACTAAACACACAAGTTCCTCAAAGGCCAGCTCTCATGTGATACTATTATGTCTGTACTGTAGGTGATCGAGATACAAGTGGCTGAATTGGGTGAGTTCGTACGTAAAAAGTGTACCATTGAAGGTATAAGTATCCACACTTGCCCTAACGGCGTCGCCGCTTCAGCAGGCCGTCGTCCATTAAGGAGCAAGGATGCAGCAACGGGAGACATTTACATCATGTTTTGGTGGATCCTTTCGTCATTCCTTTGGATCTCAATGTGGCAAATCTTTCATTATGGATCGCTGTCAAGACACAGACAAGTATCTATCGAATGTGGGAAAGCGTGTATCTACTGATGATTGTTGCGGAGGGAATGACATTTTAAGCAGAGTCAATTACTCCCTATGTCGTGAGCTTGACCTCTCCTTATAACCCAATCGGCGCTTGCTGGTCTGGAACCTAGTTTCTCGTTCACCGAAAAAGGTGCATCAGAGAGCGGCAGAGGTGATGACGGTGGCACTGTACGCACCAACAAGTGGATGCTGTAACCGAACGGCGAAATTGTGGTCTTGGTCTCAATATGTACCCGGAGCTAACCTGATCTTTGCAGAACCTTACCTCCAAACCCACGGTTCCTTAGGCACACGGAGACTGTACATCACGAACTTCTCCTTTCCCGCACTACCTCAGCCTTGACCAAAGCTTTTTCAAACTCTCCCCTGTACGCGGGATGCTTGGCCAATGCCCCGAATAACACGTATGCAATGCTGTCTCCAGCCTCGTTATTCTTTCCTTCATCCACATCCTGAGATTCAACCCAGTCCTCAAGTCCCGCTACGGGATGCTGCATCTCGTCTTTAAGCGACTTGCAGCGGTATCCCTCTGGCGACTTGCGCATTATAATGCAGGAATTGAATGACTCTTTGCACAAATCCAACGTCCGGTCCCACGGCTTCTTCTCAGCCTGCCTCGGACTGCGTTTATTGAGGATTGGCGTGAGGAAAATGAAGAGCTCGTTGGCGACAAACCCGCTATGGCGCTCCTGTATTTGAAGAGCCTCGACACACTCCCGCGGGGCAAGCCGCCAGTTGACTAGTACCGATGGTGATACTGGTGTGATGGTTAGAACTTGATACCTATTACCGCGACTGCTACTCCTTTCGATTCTCAGAGATGAAAGGCTGTGTGTGTTGACGACTGGTTGGCTTCCGACTCACCTCTTCTCTTGTGGGCCTCAGCCCCCAAGTCGCTCAGCCCGGTCGGGATGGATTTCCGCTTTTCGGGCGACTCGGCCCCAAACCCCTCGATTCCGAAGCGCCTCGTCAAGGATATAGTGGTGCAGTATGTTGAAAAGAAGTGCACGCACGCGTAGCTCCTTGTGATTCCACGTTGCCCATTTGCTGCCACCGTACAACACCAGCACGGGGCGGCGCGCGTCAGGCTCCAGAACAGGGTTCTGGTCGACGGAAAGAAAGTTGCCTTTAGCGAGGGCCAGGGTCTTCTGTCACACTCGTTGGAAGGCATCCGTGATCACATCGTCACTGATCTTTTGGTCTCCGGCCTTGTCGAGGACAATACCGCGGAGCTTGTTGTTCTGCTCCTGGAGCCATTGGATGTTGCCCTGTCTTTCGTGGAGCTGCTTCTACTTCGAACCCAGGTCATCCCGGAGGAATATCGCATCGGAGAGCATATCAGAGTCATGCTGCATTTGAAGATGGGAACATGATGCCTGTCAGGGCAGTGGCGTTAACTTGGACAAAATAACCCTGATAAAACAGTCTTATGCACTACGGTACAGGTATAAGGTGACGAGAAGAAGAGAAGAAGAGAAATCAAGTGATAACTCCGAGAGACTCGGTATCACTGTAGTCAGGAGCGTGCTTTGCACTATCTTCCAGAATTTGCCTTGATGATTGACCCCGTACAAGGTCCGGAAACAACCAGCCAATGATTGACTGCCACTGAGGCCAGTCAGTGGGGTTTTGAGAGTCGAAAATAAGCACCGCATGCAGTTAGCTAGCTTCCATGCCAATGCATCGTGGGATTTGCTAGTGCAAATGGCAAGGCGGCTGCGCATTTTTCTGCAGGCGTCATGTAGTAAAAGGCGAATACCAAGGAAGGCGGAGCATAATTCCCCTCTCAGAAAACAAATGCAGGCCAGCAAGCTGCGGCTATAAAAGCCAGGGCCTCAGTTTCGAAGGCCGTCAGTGCTGGAGGGTAGCCTGGGATTTGGCCAACAATTGATCCTCTTCAAATGCTCCTTCACAATGTCTGTCCCACGTCTTCTCTTCATTACGGTGGCGCTTCTCGCAGCGGACGCAATCTCCCAAGAAGATCAAGGAGGCACCTGTGGCCCGTTTGCGCTGACCACGACTTCGGGCACATTGTATTCTGCACCTAATGGTACACAACTGCCCGGGTCAACCCAGACCGAACTGGAGCCGGGACAGTACCTCATCTCTGATAATGGGACACTCACGACCCACAATGGGTCCCTCTGCGAATTCCGACGTCAGTACTTCCCTGTAGCAGGGGTTGGCTTTCTGTCACCCAGACTGATTCATGACCAACAGCTTACCTGATCTGTCTCCCGAACAATACTCACTCCGAAGGAGACGGCGCTTTTGTCGTCGGCGAATATGGACGTCTCTCCTACTCCAACAACGACACCTTCAACGGTTGCAGTCCCTCGGTGGAAGATGGATCTACTTTCGAAGACATGCGCATATTCCCTGGCAGTGCTCCACCGGGTAATGGCTCGGGGGTTGCATCGTGTGGCTTTCTTGCTATGCAGGCCTCACGCTGTCACCCTGGTGAGAATGACGCGGAATCCAACAACACCGACGCCGCCGCCAGCTCTAGCAACAGCACCAACGCGACCGGAGAAACCAATGGTGCCAACAGTACTGAAGACGGTCCAACCACAAGTGGCACATCAGGATTGATGATGGGTCTGAGCACTTCCCTGTACGGTCTGTTTCTAGTTCTCGGGCTTGCTTCGTCCTGAATGGAAGGGTCTCTTCATTCTTCCCTGCAAACGTTAGAAGAGTGCCCCTGCATGTCTACTGTTGGTGGTTGGTCGTATAGCTTCAGTACCTGCGGTATAAGCATCGAGGACGGGAGTCCGCCCTGTGACTAGGTACAACCTGCTGTGGGATACATCCAGTCAGTGTTTACGTATTGTCGCATATTCAGTTGATCCCGAGATGGAAGCCCGCACGGCAGCGACCCTGTCCTAGCACGTGACGGTGTTTTGGTAGCTTCTTCGCCTCAGTCCGTGGGAATCGCACCGGAAACGCACAATTACTGGCATATCGAATGATGTGTTTTACAGAGTTTGCTAGTCTGGTCCGGTGGAAATAATTGTGCCTGCCTGCTCTGAGACTGTGGATGGCCTGGTTCAGCGCTGCAAACCCAGGGGGTGGGGGGCAAAACCACCGTCGCCATACTCGTCCATTCCTGCAGGCCTGATCTTGATGTAAAATACAAGCCGGAAATAATCTTCGATAAATCTATCCCTTTATGACAAAAATCCTACAGGTGCAAGGTGGTAGCTTGGAAGAGCAGCGTGGGCTGCTCCAGGCTGTATCAAGCAAGAGGTACAGAGGTACAAAGGCAGCGACATGTGGAGCTGTTGGGGTACAGCGATACGACGATACCTGGTGCCAAGCTCCTCAGGGACCCTGGCTGATTAGATAGTGGACTTGACTGCCCAACACCGCCAAAAATTTCCTCGGCAGAATAACGTACCTCACCACCAGCTAGCTCTACGCCCGCCTTAACATCATCATTCCTCCAGCCAACCAACACCACATCCCACACATCAACTATTTATCGCCATGGCTGGAACAACGTACAAGAAACGATCGCGAGACGAGGCGTCAAAGTCCAAAGCAGCACCGCCACTAAAAAAGCAGAAGAAGAGGCAGCCAGCCCCCAGCCGCAGCGACGAATCCGACGACGCGCAAGAGTTCCAGGCCGTCAACCTGCTCGACTCGGACGACGATGACATTCACAACGCAGAAGTAGATGACGGCGGAGATTCGGGATCTGACGCCGACTCCATTGGCTCATCGTCGGGCTCAGAGGACGAAAGACCAAGAAAAACAAGAACAAAGGCCACACGGCCACAGCCAATAGCGAGGGACGTGCCGGCGAACAGCCTCGCAAAAGATGCGCCGGGCTCAAAATATAGGTCCGGCTGGGACGAGCAACAAGACCAGAACGAGGACGACGACGAGGGCGACAATGACGAGTATTCCGACCTAGACGAGGCGCTCAGCTCCGACGAAGCTGGCGGGCAGAACGGGGACGCACAAGACGACCCCACGAAAGCCAAGCGCACGTCAAAATCCAAGCGCAACGACCCGGAGGCTTTCTCGACGTCCATCTCCAAGATCCTGGGGACCAAGATCTCGGGCAAGAACCGGGCCGACCCGGTGCTCGCTCGGAGCGCTGACGCGCGCCAGCGCGTCCGCCAGGTGCTGGACGAGGACCTCGACCGTAAGGCGCGGCGGAAGATGCGCGAGCAGAAGCAGAGGGCAATGGAGAAGGGCCGGGTGCGGGACGTGCTGGTGGCGACCAACGGCACCTTCAGCAACGTCAACCCGGTGACGGGCAAGGTTGTCAGCGACACGGACGGTGAGACGACAGCCGAGGTCCTGGCGACGGAGCGGAGGCTGCGCAAGGTCGCGCAGAGGGGTGTGGTCCAGCTGTTCAACGCGTTCCGGACGGCGCAGGTCAAGGCCGCCGAAGCGGAGCGGGTGGCGCGGAAGCAGGGGGTCATCGGCATGGATAGGAAGAAGGATAAGGTCACTGAGATGAGCAAGAAGGGCTTCCTGGACCTGATTGCGTCCGGGGGCGGCGGGCTCAAAAAGGGACCCATCGAGGAGGCTTGATCCCGCGGGCGTTGGGATTTGCAATCCTGGCACCAAAGACCCGGGTTCTGCACGCAAGCCAATCCATGTCATTTTGTCTTTGAGTAGGGTTCTCCAATTCGAGGCATCTTTGCGTCATGCACACCCAGCATGCCCGATCTTGCCGGCGCATAGCACGGCATCCTGACAATACATTGTACATACATATACAGGTTGGCCCCTTCCCAAAATGGGGGCTCGTTAGATGATTATGGTCAGTGTGCGTCTGCCCAATATACCATCGTGTTCGCGACTGGCCAGTGTCGTCCAACGGCAGATGACCAGGCATCTTCTAGGGCTGCCTCCAGCCCGTGTCACTCGGATGGCCCGAAGCGACCCGTCTTTCGGGATCATGCTGTGTCTATCCGTCTCTTTTCCCTATTTGAAATCGCTAGCCTGCAGGTTCCTGGTCATGGACGGCAGCTTCACCACCAGGCCATCCAGCTCTGGGGCCATGACGACCTGGCATCCCAGTCGACTGGTCTCGGTCAGGCCGAAGGCCAGATCCAGCATGTCGTTCTCGTCGTCGTCGGGCTCTGGCATCTTGTCGTATAGGTCCTCGTTTTGTACGATGACATGGCATGTGGAGCAAGCGCAAGACCCGCCGCATGCGCCTGGAATGGAAAGAAAGTGTCAGCTCCACGAGAAAGCAAGGCTCAACGTTGGTAGGATGAGAGATGGCCGGGGGGCCAGAGGGCGCCTACGACCGCGTACCTTCCATTTCAAGGTCATGTGCCTGGGCTATATCCAGCAGGTTGTCGCCTTTTGACACGGCCAGCTTGTGTTCTTGGCCGTCCTTGTCAATGAAGGTGACCCATAGCTCCTCGCCTGGCTTCGGCGGCTCGACGTGGCCATGCCGTGTGGACGGGGTCGAGGAGAACGACCGCACCGATGCCGAAGGGGCAGGTCGGATCAATCGGGGGAAGGCCGGGGAGTTCGACGAGGTGGCGAGGGCTTTGGATATTGTAACGGGCGTGGTACTCGTGCTTCCGAAGCGGCGAAGACATGGTGGTGAGAGCATTTGCGATGAGGAGGGCCGGAGGCGCGTCAAAGCCCGCGCAAATGTTCGCGGAGTCGCCATGGCTGTGTGAGGCAAGGAATGAGGCTATGGAGAGGGAGGGGGGGGGAGAGGAAGGGGGAGGAGGATGAGATACGAGAGAGGACGGAGGGGTGGTGGGGTCCTGGTGTCTTGATATTGCTATCGGGACGGAGAGCTGCAGCTCGTTATTGTTCTGCCTCGCCAACAGGAGAGCAGCCAATGCGCGAGTCCGTATGTGAGGTGTGGTAGGTGCAAGCAATGCGCTGGGGTGTAATGTGACGGCTGCTATGGCATGGCTGTCAATGCATGTTGGCTGCGGTTGGGATAGAGGCGCAAGAGTCTGGCCCGTTTGGACGTGTGAGTCGAATCTTCCGTATGTGTTGGGCCGGGCCTGACGTGCACACCCGCTTGCCGTCCTGTCCAACGCCAATGCAAGAGCTCGGGATCGTCAGCAAAATTCGAGACAGGGATTGATTTGATCTTATCGATAACGGATGACAAGGTGACCGCCTTCATTATGTAATCCACCCGTCCCACGATCACCTTGGAGGGGGTGTGCAGTGGGGAGCACTATAACAGAAAGCTCATGGTAGGAGGAGTCATAATAGGGACGGGCAGATAAGGTGAGGGAGTGGTGTAGTACGGTATTATGAGACTTCATGCACTTCAACTTCAACCTAACGGGTGCATGACGCGCTTCCAAGTCGGAGCTTGTTTGCCTCTCTTATTATCGATCCATTAGGACTCGAGAAGCCCATCCTCTCCCAAAAAGCGGGCGGCACACACCCATGCAGCAGCCACTCTGATCTGAAAGCTCTTCTCTGCTTTTCCCCGCCGCGAGACCCATCGCATCGCATCGCGTCGAATCGCATCATCCAACCATCACCCACCGTCGATTCAAACATCATCACCACAACAAGATCACCACCTCACCTCGACCACACCCGCGACCACCCCCTCGACCACGATCACGAATTGAGAACGACTGCACGAGATCATGACCACCCTCGCCCCTACACAATAAACAAAAACACTTGCACACCTGACTCCATCTCCATCCGGCTCCAATTAATTCGACCCTCCAGAAAATGTCCATCAACGGCAACGGCTCCAGCAGCCGACAAGGAGTCAACCCCCTCCGACCATACTACATCCCTCCCACCATCGGCGACCAGGCCGCCCACACATCCAACATCCCAGGCCCCACTGCCTTCTCCCGCACGGCGCCCTCGCCATCGTCGTCGCCGCCCTCGCCGTCACATGCCAGCCCTCCCGGCCAGTACGCGTCCAAGGCACGCGACATCTTCTCCGACCTCGACTACAAGGACTACATCTCCGACCCCTCGCCCTCCGTCGTCCGCTCCGTCAAGGATGTCGTCGACGAGTTGATCTGGAAGTACTCATCCGTCTTCCTGGCCCAGCCCTTCGAGGCCGCCAAGCTGCTCCTGCAGGTCCGCGCCCAGGATGATCTCGGCGGGCTGGCAACAGCCTCGCCTCCGGCCACGCCCGCCCCAGTCTCCACCAAGGCGAGCTTCAAGAGTCCGTGGAACGAGGAGGTATGTGCTGCGTGCTTGTCAACCCCCCTAACCCTGCCGATCCCCAACCCCCAACTCCGAGTCCAGTGGCCTTTGTCTTGCCTCTCGTCTACGAGCTGGATCGCTAACTTGGCAACATAGATCCCCGATTCCGACTCCGAGGGCGACGAGCCAGCCTACTTCACCTCCAACGCCCCCACGACGCCTTCACCAGCACGCACAAGGAGGAGGAGATCCCTAACGCCCCCGCCAGACTCACCCCAACCGACTAAAAAGCCAGAAGTGCCACCCCACATCCTCAATATCAGCCGGCCTGATTCCATAAGCGAAGTTTTGTCACAGCTATGGCAGAGAGAAGGAGCCTGGGGCACGTGGAAGGGCACCAATGCTACATTTGTATATACCGTCCTTCAGTCACTACTGGAGAACTGGTCACGCAGTCTGCTGAGTGCACTCTTTGACGTGCCGGACCTGGGTTTGAAGACCGATCTAGACAGGCTTGCCGACATCGCGTCGCCCTATCCGTGGGCCTCCCTCGGCGTGGCGGCAGCTGCCGCAGTTGTTACGAGTCTCGTCCTCTCGCCGCTTGATCTTGTTCGAACGAGGTGAGTCTCCTTGGCAGTTACCTGTCCAACGAGCTGGACCAAGCTGACCTTGCTAGACTGATAATCACGTCTACAACACGTGGCCCGCGACGAACAATCGCCCTTCTCCGTTCTCTTCCTTCCTACCTGTGCCCGTCGAGCCTCTTCCTGCCCACTGTCCTGCACTCACTGGTGCATCCCGTCCTCGCCCTTTCCACGCCGTTGGTCCTGCGCACCAAATTCTTGATCGATAGCGAGTTGTCACCGGCCACCTTTTCGGTCGCCAAGTTCTGCTCGTCGGCCGCGGCCCTCCTCATAAAACTGCCCCTGGAGACCGTTCTGCGCCGCGGCCAAGTCGCCGTTCTCGGCCAACCCAGCTACACCAAAGCCGCCGACGGAGCGGCCAGTCCGCCCGCATCATCGAAGATTGGGAGGCATGCCGGCGCGGCCAAGACTGCCGCATCCGCACCCTTGGAGGCAATCGTACACCCCGGCAGATACCAAGGCGTAGTCGGCACTATGTACGCAATCGTGAATGAGGAAGGGTCCCGGGCCGTGCACGCAGCACCAGCAGCAGCCACCAAGGGAAAGACGGCCTCTAAGAAGGGTAGGAAACAAGTGGCCGAGACTGTTTACCGACGTGGGCAAGGGCTGGACGGTTTGTGGCGGGGATGGAAGGTTAACACATGGGGTCTGGTCGGGCTATGGATGGCTTCCGTGGCTGGTGGAGGCGGCGACGGGGAGTTCTGAGCAGCGTGTTGCATCGCATCATCTTAAACTCGCAATAAGACGGTGTCTATGGTGCAGTTACGCTCTGAGCCACGCTGACTATCCGGCCACCGGGTTCTGACTCGAATGGCAGCTCCGGGAGTTGAGATATGAAAGACGCAAGCCCTAGCCAGAGCGGGGCAAGATTTACTATTCATCAAGGCAGCGGGAGTTTGGTGGCGGCTTGGATGGGGCGGATGCACTCTACTCATGAACATCGTATGATATACCCCTCTTGAGCTTCATATATATTGCCACAGAGGCTATTCCGTGTATGAATACGATTTGTCTCACAGGTTCCCAGTGCGGAGCAGTTGAAAAATGTCCAAGATCCAGGTCGAGAATTCCTGGCCGGTCATTCAGGAGCACTCTCAGGTCTATCGAGGTGATCCCGCCTAGCACGCAGGCCATAAGAGGCACTCCTGTGTACCAGGGACGATGACATATCGGTGTCACAACACATGCGTGTGTGTGTGTGTGTGTGCCAAGAGCAATCGCCCACCTCGTCAGCTGTTCAAGGGACGGCTAAGCCAGCTCAGCTAAGCGGTTACGGCCTCCTTCGATTGACGTTGTCGCCTGCGATTTGAAAAGCGTCAGTGTCCGAAGCGTGCGCTCCTGATCTGCGGATCAGCGAAGAGCCTCCTTCCTTGGCGCAATATGCGGCACGTGGTAGCTTATTGGCAGATGCTGCTAGTTGTGACCGCTTCTTTTATGTTCTCTTGGTACAAGTTGAGCCTTGACAGGATTGCTCGGCCGAGAATTGGTCATCCTTGAACTTGTCTATTGGTGGATGAAGTGGGTGCCTTCAAGAGTGCGCGGCCATCAGGGAAGGTTGTGACCACGACACACATGCCCCTGCAAAAGGATTGCACAATCGGTTTTTTTCTTGACGGGGTGCCCGTGTAGGAAGCAATGCCGCCTGAGACGTCTCAACCATCACTCACCGTGGCCCACTATGTCTGCTCAAATGCGAGGGCTGCCTTGCCGAACGGGCACCCTTCTTCTGTCGTATCGCCGCCGCTCAGATCGCTCTATGGATCAGACGAGTTATGAACATCAACTATTTGCCGCGGTTGGCACTTCCTTTCACACGTGGGAAGCTTACCTTGACATCGATTTATGACTCCTTGTAACTAGGTAGTCACAAGTCGATGCTACACCAGGGGCTTAGTATGCACCCCAGGTCTTGGCGGGGCATGATATGCCGCGGGAGACAGGCCCCGAGATTTCCTGTTACGGAAAGCATAAGGCTGACGATGCCTGCTGCTTGTCAACGCGATGGAGGCTCGCGATCTGATCACTGGTCATAACGGGCACACCGCTCGGGCCAAGTGGTTGCCCCAAACCTGGAAGTTGGATGGTGAAGCTGCATGGTAATGTCTGTTGACTTTTTGACGACCTCCGTTTGAGGCCATTCATTGGTGGACCACGGTTTGTTCGAGAAAACGACTATGCGCTTCCATGTGTGCATCCATCTTGCAGATATCCAGTCGCGAGACAGATGGCTGCCGAGGATAGGACGTCTTGGGCGTCAGGACACTTCCAATTGGGGTTCTCACGGAGGTTTCTTAGACGGGTCTCTAAGCATTGCGGAGGTCAAAGTTGTGCAGAAGCTGCCGGGATTGGGCATATCGCCGATGATGTTGGCAGAAGGGTCGGTATCTCGGCTTCTATTGACGGAAGACTGCCTTCTGGTTACAGTCGCTATCTTCGTAATCACCGGGAACGCGACAGCGTGCCGCTTTTCCACCTGGTTCCACGAATATATATCTATGTTAAAGATTAGCTATCTATCTCGACATATTTCGTGAACTCTGCAGATGGCTTAGTTCATAACGCCGTACTAGTACAGAAGAGAATTGATCGCAAGATGGCCATCGCCTCGAAGCAAATCATCAGCCTCATCGCAGGAGCTGTAACCGTTGTAGCTCATGGACATGTCAACAATGTGGTCATGAATGGGGTTTACTTCCAGGGTTATGACCCGGGCAGTTTTCCCTACGTTCCGAATCCTCCCATTGTGGCAGGTTGGGCAGCCTCCAATCTGGACAATGGCTTCATTGCCCCCGACGCCTTCCAGACATCGGACATCATCTGCCACAAGAACTCGACCAACGGCGATGCTCACATCCCAGTGAAGGCAGGAGACTCCATTTCCATCCAGTGGACGCCAACCTGGCCCGGTCATCGACTATCTCGCCAGCTGCGGGGCTTCGTGCAAGACCGTGGACAAGACGACGCTCAAGTTCTTCAAAGTCGACGGTGTTGGCTACATCAGCGGGTCCGGAATTGGCACGTGGGCCTCCGACGTCCTCATTCAGAACAACTCGACCTGGCTCGTCAAGATCCCCGCCAACCTCGCCAGCGGGAACTACGTCCTGAGGCACGAGATCATTGCCCTGCACTCTGCAGGCAACGTGAACGGTGCGCAGAGCTACCCGCAGTGCTTCAACCTCGCCGTCACCGGCACGGGGAGTGCGCAGCCGAGCGGCGTCTTGGGTACTGCGCTGTACAAGTCGAACGACCCTGGGATCCTGTGCGACCTCTACGGGACCACTCAAAGCTACGTTGTACCTGGGCCGACGCAATATACGGGGTTCCCGAGCTCGGTTGTCCAGACCAGCTCCGTCGCGACGGCAACAAGCACAGCTATCCCGGGGTAAAGATCCATAATATGTATGGTATCCAATTTTGGTATGGTAGCAAATTGTCGGGCAAATACTGTGCTGGGACTGTGGATTCAACAATTGTTGAAGATACAATGCATATGTCGCATGGAAGTCACTTGGTGGGACTCTCGTCTTTGAATCCTTGGAATGGATCGCCCAGTTGTGGCCGTAGCTATTACGAATATTATTGAAATCGTTTAAAGAACGGAATTGTCTCTGATATTCTTTGTCACATGGGAGACAATCCTTCAGGCCCGTCGCAGAGGATTTACAAGTGACGTGAAGCTACTGCTTGTCCCGTTCTAAACACCGTGGATAGCCGGACGGACCCATCAGCGAGTATGCCCACGTGCTAGATTATCGTAATGGCATCTCGAGTCTGTCATGAAGACCACACTGTAAACCTTTCGTCTGTACCTGCAGTCCGGCTCCATACGACCAAATGACACTACAAACAAAATCTAGCCACGGAGTTTTAATCCATTGATATAGGGGCAACGTTCTGCAAAACCGACTCTCAGAGAAAGATGGGGCCTGTTTGCCTCCAGGACTTTAGCAGATGTGTATTACGAAGCGAATAGAGCCAACGAGGCTCGGTTGAGGCAGCATTGTGTGCCTGCCAGCCAGCCAGTCAGTGTGTGTACTGTAAACAGTCTAGGAGTCACCGACAACCCACAGCTTCACGTGAGGGATCAAGGAGAATGTGGAATCGGTGATTCGCTCGGGTCGCCCATTCGGATGCAGCTCGGGAGACGAATGCAGGATCGAGGCGAGGCGACGTAAAGGTCTCCCCGGAGAAGCCGGGATACAGACCTAACTCTGAGTCAACCGAGGTCAAAGACCAACCAGCTTGCCCAGCTGAGTGTACAGGACGATTATTGTGGGTATTGTTGGAAGTTCCCAGTCGGATCAGTCTCTGTTGACGGACTGTGTCCGTTTCGATAATCTGCAGCCTGCACCTTTTTCTTTTTTTTTTTTTTGTGGCGACTGTCCGGGGTACTTATTGCAGCACGTATCTACATACTTGGTACTACAGTATGTGCATGGATGCAAATTGATCAATGGTGTGGTTCAAAGAAGCTTTCTAGCCAAGGATTGTCCGTCGGTGGGGCCACAGGGCTTTAGACCGACTTCCTGATGGATCAGATAGCCCTCGATGGACAGTTGGTCCGGCAGTGTGACCCGTCATCTTCACCGCGCGGACTCACAAATGAACCATGCCGTAGCGGAAGAGATGTGCGCCCGAGGAAACTCGTTGATGAAATGATAGGCCGCGATGACGAAACCTCGTTACATCGTGGAGTGGATAGATACCAAGTCAGTAAACCAGCCCAGAGATTCCGAACGATCGTCGCTGAGATTTGTGTTTGCCGAGCCCGGACCGATTCGCCGATGTGCGTACCATGGACAAATCCTCGCACTGGGGTTTGCCCGAGATCCTGGGAGGTCTGTGAGGATCTGCAGGCGTTTTTGAGCCTCAAAACTCTGCCCTTCGAGCCCTTCTCAGGTCGGATTGCCAAGTCAAGCACATGCGTGGGCCGAGACGCGAGGGACACGCAGGGCTGTCTTTCCTTGTCTGCTCACACGAGTCCCGAGAAGTGGTCCATGCAATTTATTCATGACCAGCGTCCCCAGAATAAAATGTCCTGCGAGGCTCCGCGGAAGCCTGCCAAAAACCCACACCATGACGGCATGCTGGCGGCGTCCTGGCCCCACATCTCGTGTGGTCTTCGCACGCTCGCGAAGATCAGAGGCGATCAGATGCGGAAGCCCCGGCTTTGCTGCCCTGCCGGCTCTGCCACGACTGCCAGGCAGTGCCAGCTTGCCCTTTGCGGACAGACTGCCATCCCAGCAGCCATGCCGTCCTTTTGCACGCGTTGCGGTCTGCGTACAGTAGCGCCACAGTAAGCAAAGGAATTGCACGCCCACCGGCACAAGGAAACGATCAGCGAATCACAAGCCATCCAACAAAATGCCGCACGCTGGATGTCCAACTTATCCATGTCATTTGCTAATGACCTCACATATTCCTTGGTTTTCCATCATGTGGGCCCCCTTTTGCGCGACTTAGACTCTCCGGCCGGGCGATGGCAGATGATGCCAGCGTGATGTGATGGACGGACGTGCAGCTGGGCGAGGCCGAAAAGGCGAGCCGGATCAGACGGCCGGTGAGAGAAAAAGTGCCGCAGGCGAGATAAAATGTCTCACGAGAATTCGTTCAAGAGGAGCCCGCCCCGGTCTTGGATTTCAGTTGTTTGGATTTCCAATGGTTCCCTTTTCCGGTCCCTAGTTCTCCTACAATCCGCGCACACTACTTCCGGTAGCAGGCGGTCGTGTCTCCAGTAGTAGGCGTTCTCAGGTGACCGTTCTTGGTGCTACTCCCTTGAATCCACCACGACAACGGTCAAGATGGCGTTCGGACACCACAAAGATAACCATGCCGCGCCTGCCGACGACGTCGAGGCTACGGCGGCAGACCGCACCGACGGAGGTCTTAGCCATGACGTCGACGACAGCGAACTGCCCGAGTATGAGGCTCTAGACCGGTTTATCACCAGATACGATGCCAGCGGTCAGCAGAAGTCGGCCGAGGAAGAGGAGGCCGAGAAGAAGAAGAAGCCCCCATCACTTCTCAAGCTGTTGTTCAGCGGCGACCTTGAAGTCGAGCAAAACCAGAACCTCGTCGCCCCCGATGCATGGCTCGACACCGACATGCGACAGGGCATCAGCGATCACGACGTCGAAGAACGCCGCCGACGTTTCGGCTGGAATGAGCTCACCGCCGAGAAGGAGAACCAGCTGAGGAAATTCATGGGTTTCTTCCAAGGCCCGATTCTTTACGGTGAGTGTTCACGTGCTTGATATGTTTTTACCAAACTATCAGGACCCCATTGTGAGTATGAGAGTGGGATCTGACGTGTACTCTCCAGTAATGGAAATCGCCGCGCTGCTCGCTGTCGGTTTGAAAGATTGGATCGACTTCGGTGTCATTGTTGGCATTCTTTTCCTCAACGCCGCCGTCGGATGGTATCAAGAGAAGCAGGCAGCCGATGTTGTCGCCAGTCTAAAGGGCGACATCGCCATGAGGGCCACTGTAATCCGCAACGGCAAGGAGCAGGAAGTTCTTGCACGGGAGCTCGTCCCCGGCGACATTGTCATCCTCGAGGAAGGCCGGAGCATCCCCGCTGACTGTCAATTGATCTGTGACTACACCCACCCCGAGGATTTCAACGAGTTCAAGAAGCTCAGGAACGAGGACAAGTTCAACGGAGACTCCACCGACTCTGGGGATGAGAGTGCCAGCAACGAGAAAGGCACGGGCAAGGAGGCTGAGGACCGTGACGACGACGACGACGACGCAAGGTCTATTCACTACGGCTTGCCCCTGGTTGCCTGCGATCAGTCCGCCATCACCGGCGAGTCGCTTGCCGTGGATCGCTACATGGGAGACCTGGTATTCTACACCACTGGCTGCAAGCGAGGCAAGGCCTACGCCATTGTCAAGACCTCGGCACGCTACTCCTTCGTGGGCAAGACTGCCACCTTGGTCCAGGGCACTCAGGACCGCGGGCACTTCAAGGAGGTCATGGACAGCATCGGAACGTCCTTGCTTGTGCTTGTCATGTTCTGGATCTTGGCAGCGTGGATTGGAGGCTTCTTCCGGCACATCCACATTGCTTCCCCCGGTGTGCAGACACTTCTGCACTATGCCCTCATCCTGTTCATCATCGGTGTGCCCGTTGGTCTTCCTGTTGTCACAACCACCACTTTGGCTGTCGGAGCCGCATACCTGGCCAAGCAGAAGGCCATTGTTCAGAAGCTGACTGCCATTGAGTCCCTTGCTGTAAGTCTTTTGGAACACGCCTCTCATGAGTCCGCTCACTGAATACTAATGCGGCTATCCTTCAGGGCGTCGATGTTCTCTGCTCCGACAAGACAGGCACACTGACCGCCAACAAGCTGAGCATCCGCGAGCCGTACGTGGCCGAGGGTCAAGATGTCAACTGGATGATGGCTGTTGCCGCCCTGGCCAGCTCTCACAACATCCAATCCCTGGACCCCATCGACAAGATCACCATCCTGACTCTGAAGCGCTACCCCAAGGCGCGTGAGATTCTCCGCCAGGGATGGATCACTGACAAGTTCACCCCCTTCGATCCCGTCTCAAAGCGTATCACTTGCGAGTGCCGACTTGGCAAGGACCGTTATATCTGCGCGAAGGGTGCTCCCCGGGCTGTCGTGGACCTGGCCAACTGTTCAGCCGAGACGAAGGCCCTGTACAACCAGAAGGCCAAGGAGTTTGCCAGCCGTGGGTTCCGTTCTCTCGGTGTCGCGGTCAAGAGAAACAACGAGGATTGGCAGCTTCTGGGCATGATCTCCATGTTTGACCCGCCTCGTGAGGACACTGGCCAGACCATTATTGAAGCCCAAGCTCTTGGTACGTAACAATTCTAGCTCCGCAACCATGGAAGCAAGGATAGTTGTGCTAACATTCTGTTCAGGCGTGCCTGTCAAGATGCTTACTGGTGACGCTATTGCTATCGCGAAGGAAACCTGCAAGATGTTGAGTCTCGGCACCAAGGTCTACAACGCAAACAAACTTTTCAACAGCGGATTGTCCGGCAGCTTGCAACATGACCTTATCGATCGCGCCGATGGTTTTGCCGAAGTCTTCCCCGAGCACAAGTACCAAGTCGTCGAAATGCTTCAGCAACGAGGATCTCTCACTGCCATGACTGGTGATGGCAAGTCTTGCCTCCTTCACAGCACTCGTCTCAATAAGAGCATGGAACTCTTGTTCCGTTGCCATCGAGCTTGGTGTAATGGATTGATGCTAACATTCATAATCGCAGGTGTCAACGACGCCCCTTCGCTGAAGAAGGCTGATTGTGGTATTGCCGTGGAGGGCTCTTCCGAGGCCGCACAAGCCGCAGCAGACATCGTCTTCCTCGCACCCGGTCTCAGCACTATCATTCTCTCGATCAAGACAGCACGACAAATCTTCCAGCGGATGAAGGCCTACGTGGAGTACCGGATTGCACTCTGCATCCACCTTGAGATCTACCTGACTCTCTCGATGATCATCCTCAACGAGACCATTCGACCGGATCTCATCGTCTTTATTGCACTGTTCGCCGATTTGGCTACCGTGGCTGTTGCTTATGATAATGCCCATGTTGAGCCCCGGCCCGTCGAGTGGCAGTTGCCCAAGATCTGGGTCGTCAGTCTCGTCCTCGGGACGCTGCTGGCCATTGCCACGTGGATCATTCGTGCAACGATGTTCCTGGAGAACGGTGGCATCATCCAAAACTTCGGCTCGGTTCAAGAGGTTCTCTTCCTCGAGGTCTCCCTGACCGAGAACTGGCTCATCTTCGTCACTCGAGGCGGCAAGACCTGGCCATCATGGCAGCTCGTCGGTGCCATCTTCGTCGTGGATGTCCTCGCGACCATCTTCGCCCTGTTCGGATGGCTGTCCGGCTCGGGCGGCGGTGTCATGCGGACAACTCCCGAGACCATCTTCGAGAACTCGGACAACGGGTGGACGGACATTGTCACCGTGGTGCTCGTGTGGGCGTACTCGATCGGCGTCACCATCTTCATCGCCATCGTCTACTACCTGCTCAACAAGAACCCGTGGCTGAACGACCTCGGCCGCAAGAACAGGCACCACAAGGACACCATGCTCGAGAACGCCCTGTTGCAGCTGAACAAGATCGCTATCGAGCACGATCAAAACCCTGAGACAGGCTCAGACAGGTACTACCTTGTCGAGAAGGCAGCTGCGGAAGACGATGATTAGACGTAATGGGTCTGCGATCTACCATACCTACTAGGTGGAAGGAGTGGTCTTTATTTACAACTTAATTCGTTATATTACAAAAGCAGATTGCTTTTGATGTTAATGAGAATAAATATCAATCTAGAAGTTGACTATGACTGATGCTGAGGAAAATCGAATCGTTTGTGATCTAGGAGCTCTGCGAGAGTGAGTTTTTGAACCGAACAACTGTCGGCTACAGACCTCGATCCAAGACAGACTCGTACATAGGTGAGTAGAGTCTCACAAGTTGCACATGTGTGGATCCGCAGGCACTGTTTTCTTAGGGTGGTCATAGAAGGTACAGATGGATCTACGCAGGTTATTCGCTTGTTAATTATTCTTAGAATTTTTCCCAGACTCCAGGTTCCACCCCCGCAGTCTCCCACTCCTCACGATGTCCCGGAAAGACCTGAAACGGCTGCCCGACGGTAGCCCGCACGAGTTGGGAGTACAGACTGAAGATCACGGCCGTATCTCCACAAGACTCAGAATTACCTGTGGTGTCCAAGGCATCAGCCAATTCTCGCTGTTGGACCTGCGCTGCGCGATTACACAAGACATGGGCAAGCTACCAGAAGCTTGCAATGAATCAGGATTTTCCATCGCCTATCCCTCCATCACTAACCGAGTCTAGATAACAGAGTCAGTTCACTTTGTTTCGGATATAACGCATTGGTGCAATCGTATGCGGATTCGCAGGGAGAAGGGGTAAGGTCACAACTGTCCGCTTCGGCCTTGCCGCGCATGGCGAATAAATGGTATCCCCAATAGCGAGTGCAGTGCCATTCCTCAAATCCATGAAGTCACGCTGTGAAGCCTCGAGACGCTGACGAGGGGGATCTTCTCTCACTTATCCGAGTCATTCTATTCCATCGAGACTTGGCATGTCTGAGACGCGGTATCTACTCAGGCCCAATCACTTCGGTTCATCCAATGCCGTGATGGCCCCAATTTAACTAAGCGGGTCGATCCGTTCCTGACAATTGTGTCTACTCACGCACGCCGAAATGTCTCAGACATCGAGACGCTGAAGGCGTAACTCGTACCCACAAAAAAGGTGCCGGTGATTGTCCAGAGACATGGAACCCGCTAGTTGAGGCTGGAGCCGACCGACTGCGAATCTTTTCCCTAGATGTCGAGCCTGAATCGTTTTGGAACCGTCGATCAGATATTTCGGGCTTGTACAGACCGACCCGGGAAACCTTGGAACTAAGAATTTATAACTGTAATGCTGTTTGCTATGTTGTCGGTACCCAGATTTTCTTCAGTCATTCTCCTTCGAATGCCTCGCCCCAGTCACCCAGACCGTTCGCTTTGAATCAGCGATTCGAGCTGAAATGGTTCTGCAAAAGTTTCTTCCTGCTCTGGGTTTCTCCCGAGGCGCGTACACGCGGCTCTGGAACTTCGACGCCGAACACGAACAGGCCGAACATGAACGGGAATTGGAGGAGAAACAAGCGACAGTCGGCAACAACGAACCTGCCTCCTGGCGGCACACCGGTGCGAGGCAGTGGGTTATTTTTCTGGCGCACCTCATTCTGCCATCCTTTGTGAACAACAGATTCTGCGGCAGGTCCCGGGCAAAGAACTCAGCACCTCGTCGGCCGACGGCGTATTTCGACGGGCTTCGTGGAGTCGCCGCCCTCATCGTATACATATTCCACCACACCTACTTGTGGTTTCCGAACCTGGGCAGCGGGTACGGGTCGAATGAGGGAAACCACTGGTTCTGGCAACTACCCATCATCAGGATTATACATTCTGGAAGGGCAAGCGTGTCCATCTTCTTCGTGATCTCCGGTTTTGTCTTGTCCATCAAGACGTTATCTATCATGAAGGCGAGAGGCAATAAGCTTGACAGTGAAAAAGCTCTTGATTCGATCTCGGGGTCCGTCTTTCGCAGGCCCTTCCGCCTCTACCCTTCAATTGTTGTCCAGACAGCTATCATCTCGGTGCTGGCTCGCTGGCCCAACCTCCACCTACCCACCGTCGACGACAACCCACACAGCGTTCCACCGACACTGCCCACCGCGGCTGACCAATTCTGTGGATGGCTGTCGGTGCTGGGCGGGCAGTTCAACCCGTTCCAGTTTGTCCCCGGTCGCACGGTGCAATATCCGAATCCTTTTGACGGCCACCTGTGGACCATTCCGGTGGAGTGGAACGGGTCGATGATGATATTCCTCTACCTGACTGCCTTCGTACGCTCGAAATCCTGGATCAGGACATCCGTACTGTTGCTCCTCATAGCCTGGGCGTGCAAGTTTGGATACGCTGACCAGGCGGTCTTCCTGGCTGGCCCGCTACTTGCCGAGGCGTCGCTCGCATGGCCTCCGTACCACACGTGCGGCTCCTCTGACGAGGTGGTTGCAATTGGAGATGGGGAAAAGCCGGGCCGGAAACAATGGCACAGCTACAGGATGACCCACCTTCTCGGCCACTCAACCACCATCCTCTGGTTCCTCCTCGGGTGCTTCCTCTGCTCTTGGCCGGAGCAGCTTGGCCCGTCGACCCCGGGCTACCGGAATCTTGCTTCGAAATACACACCCGAGGCATACGTCGGCGACGAGCTCGCGATGGAGGTGTTCTGGATCTCCTGCGGCGCCATCCTCATAATGCTGGGCCTAATATACTCGCCGCCGCTCCGGCTCAGCAGCGACGACGAGCCGCTGCTGCAGCGCCCCTTCACGACCCGCTTCGCCACCTACCTCGGCGAGATCAGCTACTCAATGTACCTCTGCCACGGCAGCATCAACGAGATCGTCGGGATGCGGTACCTCCGCCCCGCCTGGTGGGCATACTATGCAGTCGCCAGGGACGCGCAGGCCCTGCAGTTCGAAAACCCGGACGACGCTGAGGCGGCGGCGATGTTGGATGCGGCAAATGCAGCCTACATCAAGAAGTTCGTCTTGGGCACGTTTGTAAACACGTTGGTACTCTTCTGGGTGAGCGATTTGTTCAACAGGGCTGTGGATGCGAGATCCGTGAGGTTCACGAGGAAGGTCAGTGAGTGGGCGAGGAAGAAGTATTAGACGGGGATAAACCAGAGCATCTGTACCATCGTTTGATGTTTCTTCGATCAAGATATGCATATGTAGGTGGATAGACAGGTCTCGGTTGTCATTCTTGGCGTTCCCGATATTATATGAGATAGATCATGATGGTAAACAAATGTCAGCGGTGGCGAGCATAGCCCAAGTTTCTGTTGCGGATCAAACTTCACGATGAATTTGAACCATTTGAGATTAGTGTGCAGTCTTTGGGAGCTCCTATTTCGAACTACATGCTCCCGCCTGGTTTGTGGAGTTCCGGTATGAAGATGATTGCTTTAATTTTGATGTTTGCTCATCATCTCTCGGATATACTTGTTGGTCTGAAGGTGAAATATTGATACTTCGATAGTTGCTCATACCTTCTCGGCAGCTTTATCCATACGAGCTTCTCATTCCAGTCTGATGACAGCCCTTGGACACACTTGCTCAAGTCCCATTGCTGCACGCCGTGTCCAATCCTGCCTTCTGTCCTTTTCTGTCCTCAGGAGCCCTTTCAGGATTTCAAGGTACGCTTGACTGTGAACCCCTTCAACGTTCTCCCTTTGTCGGGTGCCCTTACGACCGTACATGCAGAGCAGGGTATATTCTGCTGCATTTTCGTATTCTGAAACGGTGATTGTATCGGGGTCCTTGGAGGTATTCGGAACCACCAATTCAACCATAGAGCTTTCATTTTCGAGGGCTTTTTCACCAAAAGTGATGTGTTGTTCCAGCGCATTCACCAGGAAGTCATTGTCCTCGATCATGTAATCGTACTGTCGACCGAGGTGCAGGAGACTCGTCCACAATATGCCAACGCGATGATATGTCTGCTCTCCCGGAGAACAGCGAACCACAAGAGCATGGACATCAACTGAGTATCCTTCTGCCCCTTCCAAGCTGTCACGAAGCACAAGTGGCAGGGCAAACACTCGATCGCCCTCCACGACAGGTCTGCGGCCCGAGGACTCCGAAGACCATTCGAAGTCCTTGCGAGGGTTATATTGCATTCTGGGGTTCTCGTCGATGGCAATTCCCAGGCTGGTGACTCGCGCGGGTAGCAAGTATCCAGAGAGGATAGCATGCCCTCCCAGCTGAATGCCCAGGAAAGAATCGCCAGAAATAGCATCTGGTGCGCAGACACCCTCGACTAGGTCGCATGGCTGGGCCAGGCTTTGGCCTCCCTGTGTAACAAAAGACTTCGGCTTACCATCTCGAGCCCATGACCAGGAGGGCACGTTATTGTTGACTCGCTCCATAGCTCTGACGCTGAGTTTCCTCTGCCACATCATATCCTCTACGAAGGTTTGCCTCCAAAGGCCTGCAACGTAGTCGTGTGGAGACCGCGCGGTCAGTGCCATGGTCTTCTTTGCTAAGCCAGCCATCGCAGGCAGAGTATCCTTCTGAAGTCAACAGGGACCAGAGACATACGTTGGTACAGATCTAGAGCATGAGTGACATTACCGGGGTGAGGACTGGGTCTATGTCATGTTTTTCGCTATCTATCCAAGTATACCGGTGCTATTTTAATGCATTAATGCGAACCAAGGACTCCCTGTTCCTTTTGAGGTTGGCCCGGGCCGCCCCGTCCCCATCACCAGGACCCCAGACCTTAATAATGCATTCCCGCCGAGGCTCCAAGCCCACACGTGTATGGGCGCCACATGCCCCGCTGCCGACGCCATCAATATTCCGTCGTAATATAGCCCAGAATGTCTGACACTCCAAAGCATCATGTATCCATTACAGTGATTTGAAAGGCCAGAGCCACAAAGACAGGTTCCAGTAGAGCCAACTGTCCGCCACTTCTATTCCAGATGACTTGCGTGCTCACTTGGTCCGGTGATGCCGTCGTCACCTCATGGACTCTGTATGAGGGGCCATAGTGCGTCCCACCTTCAAGCAATAATTGGGCTCCAGTCTGCACCACCACCTGTGTCGTGTAAAATATGATGCTGCGCCGTTTTCGACTCGCAGGAAGCATCACCCAAAGCTTGGTGAGGCCCAGCAGCGAGGCCCACAGCGTACGGGGACTCACAACAGATGGGCCCCTCCGACCTCAGACAGCCAACTTCCATATTATTATGCACAACCTTGGGCACGCGAGGCCATCAGGCAGGTTCTTCCTGTATCCTCCTCCTGTTCTTCCGACGCTCGGCCACCTGCCGGCCATGGGCGCCCGCAAGGTCGCCCATGAACCGCGCCCAGCTCATGCCGCCCCTCTCGAGCTGCTGGCCGAGGGCCATGCTCAGGTCCTCGTACTTGGCGTCGCGCCCCAGCCCCAGTATGGCCATGACCAGCACCAGGTTGTCGTTGGGCTGGGGCTCGGCGACATACAGCCTCCTGCGGAGGTAGGCCAGCCGCAGGCAGTACTCCCGCAGGCTGCCGCCGAAGCGCGGCTCGGCGGGCGAGATGTTGTTGAGCTCGCGCAGCCACGAGGACACGTCCTCGCCGGCGGCCTTGGGGAGGGCCTCCTGGACGAGGTCGTAGATGAGCTTCGGGTTGGTCTCGGAGGGGTCGTAGCCGCATGCGAGGAGCGTGTCGCGGACGTCGAGGCTGAAGGAGCCGGTGATCAGCAGGCACACGAGGGCGCGGTCGCGCTCCCACTGCTCGTGGGTCAGACCGGTGGAATTTCCGGCGGAGCCGAGATACTTGGTGGGTGCCCACGGCGTCCAGCTCGGCGGCTCCGGAACTCCCGGGTAGGGCGTCGTGACGTAGTCCGCGAGACCGTGGAGTCGTAGGGTCCTGACCAGAATATCGTCCCATTCGTCCAGGTTCTCGTGGCCCAGCAACCGCGGGAGGGGAGGCAGGTCTAGTGATGGCATTTGTTGCCGTGGATTGGAACTTGGTGCACTCAAGTCGTCTGAGAGAGCCGGAGGTGGCGGCAACGGCAGTGTGCTCGCCGTGGTGAAGTGCTCATACTGGTGGAGCCCGTGGTACTTGCCATGCTGCTGGGCACTCGCGTTGGAATCCTTTCGGTGGTAGAGCATGCCCGTGAGGATATTCTGACCGGTGGCCCAGGTCGCCGACGCCCATGTTTGTCGTCGGGCAGCAGTCTGGCTGTGTTGACTCGTGCTGGCGCAGGCCGTTGACGAGTTGGATGTCCATCGAGAAAGTGGGCCTCCTTTGTCAGATGACGACATGCTTGCTTCGTGATGATCTCGAGGTGCAGATGGATGTGCTGAGGAGCGACTCGCGGTCGGCCAGACCAATTGTGCGGAGTGAAGACGACGTTTAGGCTGCTGGGTTCGAGAGATTATCGAGTCGATCCTTTTCCCTCTGGTTGCTGGAAGCGCCTGGCTAACGGCGTCTGAATACCATTGGAAATCAAGTCGGAAGTCTGAAAGCACGCCCGCCCACGCATTGATCAAGTAGTCAAGCGACAGTGAAACGGGTTATGGGGCAGTCCGAGCTGCAGCTTGCTGTTATTGCATCACTCACAGCCAGTTGACCAGTTGACCACGAAGGACGCGTCTCCACATCCTGCACATCGATTGGCAAATCAGCCTGCTTCTCGTCTGCAGCTCGAGCGTCTCGGCCAACGCCACAGTGGAATCTGATGATGGCGTGGGTGCTTGCCCGAGTGGGCATGGCTAAAAAAAGGCTGGGCGGCCCGTCCTGCACGAAACATTGGTGGGCAGCTCATGAACCCTGCAACGGTCGCTGCGTCCCTTGCGTTGGCACGGCGCCAACGCTTCAGCTCGGAAAGAAATGTCCGAGCTTGAGCGAACGAGATAAAATGGGAAAACAATTCTGCTTGTCTGCAGGTCGTGGCCGAAACCGTTGCAGATTCATAAATAATTGAGTGCGTGAGAAATGATGAAGTTTCTCCCATGCTGGTATCCCAACAGCAGGCCGGCACCGTTTCCTAATGGCCCATTGGAGCATCTCGAGCTTGGCATCCCTCCGATGACATAATAATTCCTCATGCCCTTTCCTCGATCGCCAATATGATTTTGATCAGAATGATTATCTGCTAGCATCCTGTCCGAACCTTCATCAATCGACTTCACTCAAAAATGGGCGGAAGAATCCTGATGATCTCGATCAGGCGTATTCAGGGACTCTTGGTTTTGAGCAGTTGTCTAGTGCTCGCGCTTTGCGATGCGTTCATCATTTGTGTGACCGGCAGCAGTGCTCATACTGGCTTCACATATATCGATCCTGCTTGCTTGCATCGTTGGCGTCTGCGCACAGCCTATTCTTATGAACTACGGTTGCTCGAAGACCACCTGAAGTAGAGCATTCAACTTCTTGAAATGCCTAGTCACCACACAGAGAGCCTCAAGCACTGGTCCTCTCGGTGGTTTCGTCATAACTAGATGTCGACAGTCTGTCTCACTCCTCTTCTCCTTTCAAGCTCGAGCAGATGTGTATGGAAACATGTCAGGATGTCAATCCTAGGCAACGCTTTGGAATTAGCTAGCACCCAGAAGTCCTAGGTAATAGCCATTTAATATTCCCAGTTCCATCTCATTGGGAGTAGTTACACAAGCAAGCGCCATAGGCTCAAAGAGTCTTTCGATACTGTCCTAGGAAAAATATGTTGAATATACTTAGAAGTTGGCTTCCTGGAACTGGTACTCGTGCGACACTTTGATCAGAAAGAGTATCGTGGGTCTTCATCCATCCTTCTCAAGCCGATGCCTACAGGATCAGTTGATTGTTCAATAACTCGTCAATGTTCCTTGCCTATAGTGGATGAGTGGGCATCCTGTTGATTTATGAGGTCTCCAAAAATATCCTCTGGGACCATCTAGTATTCAGATATTACGTATTATCGAATCATGGGCAAGAATATTATTGGAAGAAAGATTTTCAATTCCTGCGTCGCCGTCTGATAGCCAAACAAGATGTATGAAACGTCAAGTCGCAAGTCCGAAAAGTGCTGCGGACCACGGATCAAGGTAGTTACCTGCACATATTGGCCTTCCACGATCATAAGGAAGGGGGTGGAGGGCGGGGTGGTCTGCCTGATCGCCCCAGAATTTCCCAGAATAGTAATACCATTACTTGTAATCAGATTCAGGATACCTTCTGGATTTACTCAATCTGCTAAAACCCTGAAAAAATGTGTTTCCGATAGCAATGGTTTCCCCTTTACCTCAGCGGTATATTGGCTGTTGTTCTCAACTCGGCCATGCTTGCGTCTATTTCTGCAAATGCGACTCTTTTAAACCAGCCTGGCTGTATCCCAAGGATTCGAGTCATGGAAACAGCTGTCATTCTTGGAATATCTTATAACCTGAAGTAGCTGAGCTGATTTCGCCCTTGCTTTCACTGGCCTGGCTCATCCACTCAGCGTAAGCGGCCGCTGATTACAGGATTCCACACGTCGCTCATGGAATGGAGCAGCTTGTTTGGGCTCTTATTCTCCCAGCCCAAACGTGCTTCCACTTACGAGTCAGCATACGCCCACCCAGCTTCTACAATACGCCCACCCAGCTTTCAACGTTAACCTACCTAGTATAAGGAAATTAGCTGCATATACTTTAAAATATAAATATATCTTAAAAGCTAGCTTTTTAAAACTATAACTACCTTGCCATTTATATAAAGCAAATATTTTAAGTATTTTATTTTAAATATATACTTATTATATATTAATTAATATTTTTTAAAATTATTTTTTTATATTTATTAAAGCTAATTATTAAATTAAATTACTTAAAATTATTAATAAAAATATTATTAAAATAATAAATTATTTAATTTATATAAAATATAAAGATAAATAAGCTTTATTATTAATATTATTAATAATTATTAAATAAATAAAAACCTTACTTAGCATTAATAAGTAAATATTAATAAATTAAATTATATAATATTCTTTTTAATTAAAAAAGGGTAATAAAGATTTATTTATAAGATAATAAAATTTTTTCTTTAAGGATATTTAAATTTTTAACCTTTTACCTTTTTTTATTTCTTTTTTCTTTCTTATACCTTTTATTCTTTATTTTAATCTTATAAATATATAAATTATATTATATTAATTAATATTAATTACTTAAAAATTAAAAAAAAATAAAAATAATATAAGCCTTAAGAAAATAAAAGCTATAATTATAAAGCTTAAAGGTTAAAAAGTAATATTATATTTAAGCTATTACTTAAAGAATATTATATTTAATAAGTTAGCTAAGAATTTTAATATAAAATTATTAATATTTTTAAGTTAAGGCTATATAAATATTAAAATTAATAGCTATAATAATAATATAAGCTATAATAATAATATAAGTTATAATTAAAGTAACATTATAGCTTTTAATTTGCTTAATAAATAACCTTAAGGAAAAAGTAAGTTAATTACTTAGCTACTCTTTAAAGCTAATAAATTTAAGCTTATACCCCTTTTAAAAGCTCTTAAAAAATTAATTAAAATATTAAAATTTAAGAAATTAGCTTAATTAATTAATGCTTTAAATAATAAATTAATTAAAAGCAATAATATCTTATGATTTAAAGCATTTTATAATAATAATAACCTTTTTATTATTATAACTTTATTAAGCTTATTTAAATACCTTAAGGTTTTTATTAAAAAAATAAAGATTAATTTTATTAAAAAAAGATTTAATTAATAAAGTATAACTTACCTTTAAATTATAGCTTTTTATTTATTTATAAAATTAAAAATAAAAATAATAAGATAATTTACTTAACTTAATAAAATTTTAAAAATAATATTATAAAATTTATTAAATTTAAGCCTTAAATATCTTTAAATATAAGTATTATATAAAATTAAGAATAAATTAAAAAATAATATCGTTAAGTTATGCTTTTTTATTCTTTAATAGCTATTAAAATAAATATTATAAAACTTAATAAAATTCTTAGCTTTAAAATTATAAAGTATATTTATAAATATTAAATAATAATAAATAAAGCAAAGTAAAAATAATACTTAATTAATTTAATTCTTAAGTTAATATTAATTAATATAAATTTAAAACTATTAAATAAGATAACTTTAAGTTTTTCTTATTAATACTTATTATTATTTATTTAACTTTATATTAAATAATTAATATTAATTAATATAACTTTTATTATAATAATTTATATTAATTAATATTAATTTTTATTTTAATTTTTCCTTTTTTCTTTAAAGATTTATATAAATTATTATACTTATATACTTATATTAATTAATATTAACTTTATATTAATCTTTCTTAATATTTATTATATAAGCTAATAATATTATAATATTTACTTTCTTTAATATTATTACTTAAATTAAGAAATTAAGCTTTTAAAATTACCTATTTATTTAACTTAATATTAATAAGTAATTTAATAAGCTTATAAAGAGTTTTAATTAATTATAATAATATATTATCTTTTAACTTATTATTAATAATTCCTTATAACCTACCTTAATTATTTAAAATAATAATTTAAGCATAATATCTTAATTAAAAAATATTAATATTAATATAATTATTAACTTTATTGTTGGCTGGGTCACGTATTGCAATATGACATTTAGTGGTATAATGGTTGATTGTTATTAATTATGAAAGGAAGGAAGGTAGAAGGCCTAACTATGCTAGCTATTTTATATGCAGCGCTAGGGTTGCTGCCTGCTGGGCATCTTAACGAGCCAAAGCTACCTAATTCTAAATAATCCTTTATATAAATAACACCCATTATTCCTATATTAGCAGTCTTTGTTTTATAAATATATATTACTTTTAAAAAGTATAAAAGAAAGGAAGGTATTAAGTTAAATTAAACTTAAGGTTAAAAGGTAATTAATTAATTATATATATAAGTTAAATTATAAATGCATTATTATTTTGCTATATTATATTAGTATAAAAAATAAGCATATAAAAAGGCTTAAGTTATTATTAAAAGGTTAAAGGTTAATTAATTTATTAAAATATATAATTAATAAAAAAAGGTTAATTAAGTATATATATATATTAAAATGTTTTAATTATATAAAGTTAAAAAGCTTAAAAAGTTATAATTATTATATAAATATTTTATTTATAATATATTTTATAAACTTATATTTTTATTATTTATAATACTTAAGTTAAATAAAAATTAAATTAAACCCTTAAATTATTAATATAATTATTTAATCTTTAAATAATTAAAATTTCCCATTTTAACTTAG